TCACAGAGTTATGCTCCATCCTATCTATGCCGCTCTGTGGATATACAAAAAGATAAAAATATTACAACTGTAGGAGTAAGGAGATGTATGAGTCACGCATTGGGGCGGGGGGGGGCAATGGGGAGTGTGGGGTCTTCTTCCAGTTACATAAACCCTGTTAACTTTGAGGCAACCGTGTATCGCACATCGATGCCTGGGAGAACGGCTTAAGCCACATGGAGATGCACTTCAACTTTAAACGCTATAAGAGCCGGCCAGGCGAATGCGCCGAATGTCACTTCATCCGCAAAGTCAGGGGGAGGAACTGCGGGCCATTACCCACATCCTGTGGGTAGTGTTCATGGACTTTCACACTCTCACCTGCTTGAGCACATTTGGTGTGCATGTAAAACTTGTTTTGAGGTTTACATGCACATCTTACTCCGGTTAAGGCTGAATCAACAGATTTAGGTCACTTTCGCAGGTAAGTGATTAACATACTGCGTTTACATGGCCACTAATGAACCAGTGCATTCAACCGAAGCGACGGGGAATTAATAATTCACTGACCCTGGTGTTTACATGACAAATCATATTGGATAATGATTGTGTAATTTAGGCAGTTGAAGGTGCTACTGATGACATTCAGCCACTAGATGTCGCCCTGCCACACCCGCCCTCCCATTGCGTTTACGTCACAACACCGAAGCGCACGCTCCCTCAAGTGGGCGCCGGTTCGTTGCACAACCTCCATATTTGGTGGTCAGACAGACTAAGTCGTGCCAAGTGATGACTCTTTCGTGGTAGAGCAATGAATTCATTGTGCAACACGTAGCAATGGATTTAGGTTACTTTGTGCGGCTTTAAGTCGGACGTTTACCATCAAAGCCGGACGTTTACCATCCAACTCAAATTTTTCAAAAAATTATTCAGCTAAATAAAAATACAATAGGACCTTTAAGAAGTTAGACGCCGGAAAACACTATTTGATTGAACAAACTAAGGTTTGTATATGGCAGTTAATGGGCTTATTGCCTTAATCAGGTTTAAAATAGTTTGAGCGCATGCAAACGCAATGACCCCATACCGTCTTATACTTGTGATACAAGATATTATAGAAATTGTAATGACCTGAAACAGCATCAAGATGTATACACACATAAAACAAAAACAAAAAATAGAAAAGTAATTATAGCAATCTTCAGACTCAGATCTTACACACAGGAACACTTTGACTAATAGAACGCTTTATGCTGATGATGCAACTTTGTTTTATTTAGGAAAAAAAAGTTAAAAGTGCCAACTTGATGATGGCTTCTGCAGCAACATGTTTGTTACCATGAAAAAACAGCACATTTTTTTGGCTATAAGATACAAATCAAGCTCCTTACTTACAAAGTGGTTATTTTCAAACCGAGTAGCCTCGCTTATTGAACACTGATTAACGAATGTCAGGTAGCAAAAGTTCTTCCAAAAACTATAGCTTTGTATAGTGTTTTGGTTTTTGAACGCTTTTATTTTGAAAAAAAGGCTCTGTCGCTATGACTTTGCGTATTGTGTAAACATACTTCCTGTGCTGAATGAAAGCAGGAAGTGGCGGCGAATGACAAATGGCCTGAGCAGTGCAAAGTAAGAGCGTCTCGAGTTCAAGCTTTTTGACACTTTGAATCCAAACGGACAAGATATACCACGAGGAGAAGGGCAAAATCAATCATCTTTTTAATTACATCATCGAAGCAAAGATGCATTACGTGTGAAAAAAGTAGAAAAAACAGCAAGTCTTTCTCAATAAGTTAAACTTCATCGGCCGAAAGAGCAGAATGGACAGAATCAATGGGAAGAAGAGGACGAAGAGGAAATATCCCGTAAAAAGCGTTCAAAAGTTGGAGAAAGAAGAAGCGGGGGCTGCTTGCGTTGCTGAAATCAAACCTCAGCTCCCGGCGTTATTTTTAACATGTTAAACAAAAGACTATGAGTGGCGTATATGTTACAGACTCTCCACGCTTCTCCACAGGGGGGAGGGGGGGGGGGCGCTTCAAAGCTCTTTTTTTCCCCACAAAAGTTTCTTTGTCTGATCGGAAATTAAGTGATAAGCTTCAGAGTTACAGATGGTAAAAAAAAAAAAAAAAACGGAAACAATAAACAAAAATACACAAAAAAATGATATTATAATAATAATAATAATTACAATGACAGTAAAGATAACCAGAAGTGTAAGTATTAAACACAGTCCTGTACAGCGAGGCTCGCGACAGAGATCGCGAGCCTCCGGGGTTTTTCGTTTCGTAAAGACGGTCGGGTTGGTCTCGGGGCGGTCGCCACAAGACCCCCGCCCCTGCTGACTGAAAATGGAGGAGGCTAACGTAGCTTAGCTTCCTCGTTCTTCAGTGTCCCCCTCCCCCCCTCCTCCTCAGCTGCCTTCAGCCATGGCTTTTAGGAAAACACCTTCCCATATGGACGTCCACCCCCTGCTGGTCAACACAGAGACACACAGTTAGAATACAGCCAAAAATAGATGTAGTCATTTAGCACACGCTTTTATCCAAAGTGATTATTTTTTTGTATTATTATTATTATTATTGATATTATTATTAATAATAATGTGTATCGCAATGCAATGTTGCATTGCAATACACATTATTACTATTAATTATAATATAATTCATAATAATTAGGGCATCTTTGCTCAAAAAATGCCCTGCGGTACATTGGGGATCGAACCCAGAACCTTTTCGGCCGGGAGTCAAAGAACCCTGGCCACTACTATCTAGGAATATGATTATTGGTCTGATCCTGATACTAATGTTATTGGAATTATGATGAGTTATATACGATTAGTTAATAGGAGTATATTATTTTCTGGGAAACTCAAGTCATTTGGAGCATAGTGTACTAGCACTAGTGTTAAAACAACGACACACAGAAAGGCATAACAAACATACTTGTATACATATGTTTTTTTATATATATATTGGGTTTGGCGTTTTAAAAAAGGACATTTCACATCGTCCCAGTCACTGCCAGGGGGTGCCAGGGGGTCACCTTGGGGCCGAGTGTTTTGTACAGCAGGTTTCCGTGGGGCGGTCAGTCCAGCTCATGCACCTCGTCGCGCAGGTGCACCGAGGCCCGGGCCGGCTCGCTGATGCGCTTGGCCATGATGTCCCACTGCGGCGCCAGGCCTTTGGATTTACCGCCTGCAGGGGGGGAAGGAGCTACATGTCAAGCTATTCCCAGATTATATAGAATAAATTAAACGCGCGCGCACACGCACACACGCACACACGCACACACATGTATGTCTCAGATTTGATTCTTTTATATTTTTATTCTTTTATATTAATGTGTGCTGTTATAGTCTGTTAACAAACGGGCCCACACACATACACGCACGTATACATGTGTCGCTGATTTTATATTACAAAAGAAAACATGCATGTTGGATCGTTTGGATGACTTAACACACGCACACACACACACACACACACACACACACACACACACACACACACACACACACACACACACACACACACACACACACACACACACACACACACACACACACACACACACACACACAAATGCATGCGCACAAGCACACACACATATATGCACACAACTCCCCCTCTGCTAACAGCATTCAGTAAGCTGCTGCCACTGATGTTTGCACCTAAAAGATGAAAACATCTGCCCTCTTGTGGCAATGTGAAGAACTGCTGCCGTTTCATTTTTAAGCATCTTCATTTAAGTCATGTAGCTATGTAGCAGTGCCATCTATAAACTCCTCTTTTATTTCCATCTGCATTTGATTCATGCAGAATTAGATTACAGAATAAAATCCAATATATGTATAAAATAGTCATAATATAGTTATAGTCAGTAATTGATCAAATCTTTTCACCATCTTTAAATCTCACCCATTGGCTATGTTTGTCTTTAGTGAAACCTAACTGCGTTTGGCTTGATGGTGAACTATAAGCCTTTATGATGATCATGAATTCTGGCTAAATAAATACGCGGTGTTGTGGTCCGTTAAATGACTGATGACTTGGACCAGAGAGAGGAACAAAAGACTGGCATCCGTCCAGAATTAAAATACTTTCTTCAGCATTTTCATAGTGACTGAATTCGAACAAAGAGCAACGCAACTGCAAACCGAATCCAATATTTCTTGCGAGGGTAATTCTCGAATCTTGCTACACACATATCCCAGTCTTCAAACCCTTGGAGTAATGACAAAGGTTCCCAGATGGTAAGGAAATGCGTACCGATTGTTGTTTTGTTTTGTTCTTTTTCACAAAACCATTTGTAACCTAATGAACTATTCCAAAATACCCTGTTTCTTCACTAATAAGGAAGTGGAGGACATTTGCTTTGACTATTCTTTGATATTGGTTTTTGGAGAAACCGTTTGGAGAAAAAAAACAAAAAAAAACACCCAATGCACAAATGTAAAATTAATAAAAACGAACAAGCTATGATTAACGCACAACAGTATTGGGTTTAAAGGGGGAATAGAAAGTGGGTCAGATTTGAAATGGATAGGACTGACATGATATAACAAAGCTTTGCTAGAGCGCCTGGCATATTAAAAAGAAAACGGCTGAAAATCTGTTTCCAATTGTGTTGCTATGGGCCCTCCCAGGCCGGGCCCTCCCAGGCCGGGCCTGAGCCGTAGCGGCCCGGCACCGCTCCTCCTCTCCCCCAGGACACACTTAGCGGGCTCCCTGCCCTTCCACGTTACCATGACAACACAGGCTGTAGCCTCCAGCGAAAAAAAAGAAGAGAAAAAAATATCTCCCTCTCCCCCTCTCTCTCTCTCTCTCTGCTAGTTTGTTGATAGCTTGCTAGTATGTTGAGGATTGCAAGCTTAATGGAATGACATTGATAGTGAGCATGTCAAGTTCCTTAGCCATGGCACCCCGGTTCTTAGCCATGGTGTACCAATGCCCTTGGCTGGCGTTCAGGTATGTTCAGGTTCCTAGCGAGCGTGTCGGGGGGGGGGGTTCCTAGCTATGGCG